CTTTTTTTAATTTATTTTTTATTAGTTCAGTTAACAATTTTGATTAAATTTACCAAAAGCAGAAGTAGGTCCCCACTAATCTCAGACATTACCAGAATATGTATTTCATAACCGGTAAACATGAGCCAGATAGTTTCAAAATTCCAAATTTTTAAATAAAAGGGTACTTTTTCGGTATTTCCTCCAGGGTTAGAATTAAAATAAATAAATAAAAATAAAAAAAATAAATTAAATATTTAAAAAATATAATAAAATAATAAAAAAATATATATAATTAAATTAAATAATAAAACCTAATGGTTTTCAATAGAGAAGAGCTTTCAGCTATAAATCTAAGAAAACTACATATTCTACTGGGCAGTGAGAACGAGAACGAGGTTGTTGTTGCACAGTCTTTTGGGTTAATAAAAGAAAGAAGACTGTGCAACATTTGCAACTCTCAGATGCCTTTAACAAAACGTAAAAAACAAAAATTTCTTTGCGTTGACGTGTCCAAGGCCTTTTAGGCACGAGGAAAGCATTCTAAAAGGAATATTCTTTAGAGGATCGAAACTAGAAATCGGTATTATTATTGAATTTATATATTTTTGGTCTTTTGATGAATGTTCCTTTAAAAAATGTTCTCGTGAACTTGGTGTAGCATCTGAGAGTTTTGTTTATTGTAGGTCACATCTTAGAGAGGTATGTGCCATTAAATTAATGCAAAACGACCTCGTTCTTGGTGGACTTCGTGTAAAGGTTCAGATTGATGAATCTTTATTTGCTAGGAGAAAGTATAACCGAGGCCGCTTAGTAAAGCAACAACTGGTTTTCGGAGCTGTTGATTTCAATACAAGCGAGTGTGTTCTAGTTCCTGTAGAAAATAGGACTGAGGTTGAATTATTAACAATAATTCTAAAACACATCCGGGTGGAAAGATTATTATATCTGATCAATAAGCATCATATAATAATCTTGACTTATATGGTTATTCCCATTATACCGTTAATTACAATGAAAATTTTATAGATCCATCCACAGGTGCTAATACCCAAGCAATCGAAAATATGTGGATGAGATCTAAGAGAATAAATAGAAAAGAGGCTGCGACAAGAAAAGATATGGTAGAAAGCTATTGCATAGAATTTATGTGAAGGCTTAAGTATGGAAAAGATGCCTTTAAATATATAATGGAGCATATTAATGAGTTTTATAATTAAATTAATTGAATATATTTTTATTATATTTTTTAAATATTTAATTTATTTTTTTTTTAATTTTTATTTATTTATTTAAAATTCTAACCCCGGGGGAAATAATGAAAAATAACCATAACAAGATAATGTTGCTGATCAATTTACTTANTTAGACCGAAGACTAAAAGTTTATGAAGAAGTTTTTAATTTAAGTATGGGTTTTAGAAAAGTTTATAAAAACGATTTATTGAAAGTAAATAGTATTTTCATAAGGTACCTTCAAAGAGAGGAGTTCCACCCGCGGAAGCCTTACAATATATAAAAGATTTAAAAATATAGTGTCATAATCACAATACAGTAATGTTTTACATACAAAGGGTATTAGTGACCTTATTTTTTGCTAAGTACATTCAGATATATTACATTTAAATATGGATTTCTACATGATAGTGAAATATTTCGAAATTTGCAACTCTTATTAGTGCATTTTTGCTTAAAAAATAGTATCGTGTTGTAAAAGAAGCAGTTTACAGATGATGGTCCTATAACACCTACATCACCTTATGTAGTCTATGGTTAAATCAATATAAAAAAATTGCGAACTTTTCTTTTAAGAAAAAATTAATAAAGAAACCACAATATGTTGAAGTCTTTTATCTAAATAATTGAATAAACAAAATAACGAGTTTTTCATTTGTTGTCTAGGGATGAGAAGTCCATAAGAATATTTTTTGTTAAACTTTCTATAGTTAATATAAATACCTAGTTAACAGGAACACACGGTAAAATATGTTTACCATACTTAGGTCTAGCTTAAGATACTGCGAGCCTTTTACCCGCTAAAACTCGCTCTCGTGTATTCAATAGGGTAGATTTCTCTAATGCAGTTAAAAAACATTTTTAAATCACAACCAAAGTACTGCTTCCACATGAATTCTCCAAGGTGAGCTGATAGAGTGAATCTGTATGTTTCATATCTGACTTTATGTGTAGTTTTTTTCTTCTGCCACATACTCTTAACATTTATGTATTAACACCAGCTATAGAGTCAACAAAGTTAGTACAATGATTAACAGTCCATGTGTATTATCAAAAAGTGGAAGAACAGTATATATCTGAAATCCAAAAGAATATATAATAGAATTTGACCTAAATGCTCTAAAATAATAAGGAATATTGATCCTAGTACAATCTGGAACAGCATACATAAAGCCGATATGCTTTACCTCGTAGCCACCAAATACACATTATGAACTTACACGACGTCTCCTGTTATATTTTCGACGAACTAACATCATCTCGTCTATTTCCTCTTTTTTTCTATTCTACTTATTATCGCATCATGATTTAAGAAATATGTATCCCAGATTTCTCTTTAATATAAGAGCCAATTTACATGATTTCATCCCATGCAATACTAAAGTTTCTTTTCAAGCTTCGGACGAGGCCTCTTTATATACAAAATGGTATATGAAGAGAAGATTTGTTGGTTGAAAGATACGATTCCTTAAAGAAAGATCATTTTCCTGAGATTCCTTCTTTTTTGCTAATTTTTGCGTGCATCGAAAATAAAATTCACTATTTTTCTTGCCTGTATTTTGTCTTAAAGGAGCATTTTTGCGGCAACAACTAAAGCGGCTCTTGAGCTAGCTGTGATTCTGTACAAAAGATATTGCTTCTTTCAAGTTTCTTTTTTATTTATAGCAAGCCATATCGTTTATTAAACTAATGAAATCTGTGTTATAGGATATGAAAAATTAAATATATAATTCAGGTTTTATTCAAAAATTTTAATATTATCTTATATCTTTTTTATAATATTTTATTGATTTGTTAGTTTTCTATTTTTTAATAAATTATTAATTAAATTTTAAATAAAATGGTAAGGGTGATGCGGAAACGGATATGTATCCTATTTTTTGCTTTGATTTTTAATCTTTCGAACAGTAATTAACCATGGCAAGGGGGTTTAAAGAAATAAGCGCATGGGTGTAAAATTGAAAAATTAAAATTATAATAATTGTTTAATATTGCTTTAAAAACTATTTATATTAAAATTTTAGATTTTATTTGTTGAAATATTTCTTCAAACTGAATTATTATTTTAAAAAAAAACTAAGAGCATTATTTTTGATTTTCAATAATTTCTCCCTCATTGTCAAAAGCTTGTTTTTATCTCATTTATGTGAATAACAGAGTTTTTTATATCAAATCAGTCAAATAAGTATCTAAAGATGAATTAGATCAGATAAAGTATAGATTATGGAGTGTACTAAAACTTGCATCTTATTTTCTGATCATTTTTAAACACAGCCTAAATTCCTTCAATCTAATTTATATGTACACTATTTGATTCTACTTAATTTCCAGAACGATTTACGTAAAGTGTGTAAGTCTTAACTGGAAAAATATCTTAAAATTTTCATCCGTCTCATGTATTGTGTTCCCGGAAGAATTTGATAACTTAAGAAATTTAAAAGATCAGCTCTTGAAAATGACTTTAAAATTTTTAAAAAACATTATCTAATTTATATGACTATGGCCAACATCCCATACTGTATTTTTCCTATCATGTATTTTACTACCCATGTATGTAGTTGGTGAATTCTCAACAAAATGCACAACAATTCTATTACCACCACGCCTAACAGGTATTTCTCCTAAAAGCAAAAATTCTAACCTTGAAAAATTATAAAATTGACCATTGTTTTTTAGAAATATTTCTATACACAGATGCATCACTAACTGGTCTTCTACGAGAAAATTATTACAATATTTTAAATTTTTTGGAAAATGGTAATTTTGTTTTGAAATATACTATTATTTATAAGATGATGTGACCCCATTAAAACATCTTCTTCTATATCTTAAAAATGAATTCTATTGTTTAAAAATTATAACTCATTTAATTCAGAAGAAAAGCAAGCATTGACAACAGAACTTGTAATTATTTAATTTTTTAGAAAAAATTTTAGATTATATCATGAAAGTTTTTGATATTATCAAATTTTTCTTCGGAGAAATCCACATCAACTTCTATATTTCAATTACCATCAGTAAAAATCATTTCCTTATTATTAAAAAAATGTTCATTTCCCAAATAATATGAAAAAGATTATTATTAAAAAAAGAGGAGAGAGATTAAAAAAAATCAATGAAAAATTTAATGATTAAAACTGAATTTATTAAAATAGTAAAAAAATAAATTTAAGATTACAAATATTTGAAGAATTATTAGTTTTATTTTCTATAATAAAAAAGTTATTTGTTAAAAACATTTTTAATTTATTTAAATTTATTTATACTTTTATTGTTTCAGATGTAAAATCATTGTATCGAATAATCATCTAAATTTATAAAAGTTAAACCATCATTATCTGAATATCCTTAAAAAACGACTTTATTTATAAATATATGCTCTAAAAAGAGTATAGAAGAATCTTGCACCTCAAAAGCGAAGGGTGAGGTTTTGTTATAATTAATTTTTAAACATTTATAATTTTAATGTAAGTTATTTTAATTTAGTTTGTTAAATTTTTAAGAAAAATATTAAATAATTGTACATAATGTTTAGAACGTTAAGTTTTAACACAAAATATAATTATCTTTTTTTAAAAATACTTGACCTCAGTCCAGCGGGTTTTAAATGAGAGTATAAGTATTGTATATTAACAAAGATTTTAGGGGCATAATATTGGTTGTACTCGATTTCATTTGCTGCCTGTTTCTTATTATCTACTTTTAGCATGTTATTTCTGTAATTTCTTAACTAAAAGCATAGTTTATACTCTGTAAATCTTCAATTTTATATATTAATAAAAAAAATGACAGAGACGGGATTCGAACCCGCGCCATAGAAATGATCACGACCTGAACGTGACGCCTTAGACCGCTCGGCCACTCTGTCTATCTAAATATTTTAGGCAACATATTTAAAAGGAATTGAATAAAATCTCAATAGAATAGATAGAATTTATTTAAACTTATCAAACAAAGATAATATTTAGAATTTATAAATATTTTATAATAAAGATAAGAACGATTTGAAAATCAAAGCAAATATTTTAAAATTTATTAGCATTTTTATCTTTATATTTTGCAATTTTCAGTTTACTTAATCTAATTGTGTCAGGGTGACAGGAATTCGAATATGATGACAATTTATTGTGATCATATTTGATGACATTTATTTTATTATTGGTTCTAGATCAAAAGAATCTTTAACATATAAATAGATGTAAAATAAATAAAAGATGTTTGTAGATAAAATTGTTTATTTTTATAATATACATCTACAGGACACGGATGCCTGTAACACTAATATTCTTGCTTAATTTTTTCATCCTACTGAATTTTAAATTCTTAAAATTTTTATTAAATTAAAATAAAATATAATAAATAAAAGAGAAAATAGTTTTGTAAAATAAATAAAATAAAAAAATTTTAGAGACAAATATAGGTTTAGAATAAAACCCATTTCTAGAAATAATAAAACTTTGTAAATAAAAATTTTTTAGATTGAGAATTTAGTAAAATTAAAGTAAGAACAACATCATCTTTTGATTTTTTTAATTAATGCATAATATCACAGGAAAAATAATAAAAATGAAGCTTTATTAAATAACCAGGGCAACCAAATTATTTTTTAAAATTTAAAACACAAAACAATTATTTAATAAATAAATTTCTTTTTACTACAATAATTTATCTTAAGAACAAATAATCATCATTGAAATATTATTTTTTTATTTTTAAAGAAACTTAGAAAAAGGTTTTGACAATTTTCATTAAATCAAAAAAATATTTTTAAAAAAATTAAATGAATTTTTAAAAAAATAGTTTATGATTTTAATTTAGTTAATCAAATCAAAATTAAATAAAAGTAATTTAAGTTTTTTCATCTTACACCAAGCCTTGGTTAGTGAAAGAAATACTTTTTTTAGTTTTCTTAATGGAATTTCTTAAAAAAAAGTATTTATAATTTTAAGTAAATTTAATTGGTTTTTAGTTAAATATTTAAAATTTATCATTGCTTTAGATTTATAACATAAACCGTGTAGGTTCGTGAAAAGAATTAGCTTTTTAAATTTAATAAAGGATTTAAAGAAAAAATAGACTTAACCCATGCCCTTCTACCTTCAGAATAAAAACGTTTTTAAATAATTTAAAAATTTTTTTAAGTCTTTTACTTATATCATCTATGAACAATTGGTTATCTTCAAATATGGTTTAATCATAAAAATAGAAGAAAAACACATATTTATTTATATTTATAAAGAATGCTTTTCAAATCTAATATTTATGGATTATTTGATAATCAAAACATTCTCGCTTGAATATTTTACATACATTTACACGTGAATTATTATCTAAAGACGTTCATAACAAATCAAACAAAAGTAAACAAAAATTTTTAATAATGTGAAAAAACTCTTTTTTATGAGTCATGACTTTTAAAATTATTCTCCAGCTGTTTTGATAAATAATTATTTTATGTTTTTTTATATTGTTATATAAATAAGTTTGACAACTTTTTTAATGGTTATCGAGACGTCTATAAAGAATACCCTCTAAAAAAGAAAAAAGCATGTCTCTTTAAAATTTTTACTGCTTAATAGCATATAATTTCATATTTTTTTATACACAAAGAAAATCATTCAGTTTCTGGAATTACAATTGCGGT